ACGCCCTCGGTTGCCTCCCGGCGGGGTGGGGATGAGGAGCAGCCCTGGGGAAGGGGACAGGGGTGGGGACAGCGGGGACAGGGATGGGGACAGGGATGGGGGGAAGATGGGGATGGGGACAGGGGGGTTGGGGACAGCAGGGATGGGGACACAGGGGACAGGAGGATGGTGACACCGGGGACACAGGAGGGTGGGGATTTAAGGGGACACTGGGGACACTGGGATGGTGACACAGGTGACACAGGGACAGGCCGTACCCAGGGACACCACGAGCTGCAGGATGTAGTGGGGGATGGGGACACGGGGGCACAGGTGACACAGGGACACTGGGGAGGTGACACAGTGACACAGGTGACACAGGGTGACACAGCAGGGCTGTGCCGTACCGTACCCAGGGACACCACGAGCTGCAGGATGTAGTGGGGGATGGGGACACGGGGGCACAGGTGACACAGGGACACTGGGGAGGTGACACAGGTGACACCGGTGACACAGGTGACACAGTAACATGGTGACACAGGGACACTGGGGAGGTGACACAGGTGACACAAGTAACGGTGACACAGTGACACAGGTGACACGGGGACACTGGGGAGGTGACACACGTGACACAGACCCATACCCAGGGACACCCCAAGCTGCAGGATGTAGTGGGGGATGGGGACACAGTGACACAGGTGACACAGGGACACTGGGGAGGTCACCACGAGCTGCAGGATGTAGCGGGGAGGGCCGTGCCGTACCCAGGGACACCACGAGCTGCAGGATGTAGCGGGGGATAGGGACACAGTGACACAGTAACACGGTGACACAGGGACACTGGGGAGGTGACACAGGTGACACAGGTGACACAGGTGACACAGGGACACTGGGGAGGTGACAGAGGTGACACAGGTGACACAGGGACAGTGGGGAGGTGACACAGGTGACACAGGTGACACAGGTGACACAGGGGCACTGGGGAGGTGACACAGGTGACAGGGCCGTGCCGTACCCAGGGACACCACGAGCTGCAGGATGTAGCGGGGAATGGGGACACGGGGACACAGCTGACACAGGGACACTGGGGAGGTGACACAGGTGACACAGGTGACACAGGTGACACAGGGACAGGCTGTACCCAGGGACACCACAAGCTGCAGGATGTAGTGGGGGATGGGGACACAGTGACACAGGTGACACAGGTGACACAGGGACACTGGGGAGGTGACACAGATGGGGACACTGGGGAGGTGACACAGGAGACACAGGTGACACAGGTGACACAGGGCCGTGCCGTACCCAGGGACACCACGAGCTGCAGGATGTAGCGCGCCGGGTGCTGCCGCAGGAGGGCGAGGAAGGTGAGGAAGCTCAGGGGACCCCAGGCCCAGGCTGTCACCGTCTCCATGGCAACCGTGAAGTCATCGCTCCTGCGGGGACAGCCCGAGGGGGAGGGGTCACCTGGGGACAGCGGGACACGGCCACCCCTCCCCAGTGTCCCCGCTGTCCCCAACTCACGTCATGTAGCGGCTGTCGGCCTTGGCGTACTCCTTCCCTGGCAATTTGGGGAGGGGGCTCCGGGTCAGGGGACCCAGGGGACCCCCAGCACCCGGCTGTGCCCCTGCCACCTGCCCGGCGACCCCTCAGCTGCCCCAGGGACCCCCCAGAGACCCCAGAGACCCCTCCCCACCTGCCCGGGGACCCCTCAGATACCCCAGGGACCCCTCAGCTGCCCCAGGGACCCCTCCCCATCTGCCCAGGGACCCCTCAGCTGCCCCAGGGACCCCCCAGAGACCCCTCCCCACCTGCTCGGGGACCCCTCAGCTGCCCCAGGGACCCCCCAGAGACCCCAGAGACCCCTCCCCACCTGCCCGGGGACCCCTCAGATACCCCAGGGACCCCTCAGCACCTGTCCGGGGACCCCTCAGCTGCCCTAGAGACCCCTCAGATACCCCAGGGACCCCTCCCCATCTGCCCAGGGACCCCTCAGCTGCCCCAGAGACCCCTCAGATACCCCAGGGACCCCTCCCCATCTGCCCAGGGACCCCTCAGATACCCCAGGGACCCCTCCCCATCTGCCCAGGGACCCCTCAGATACCCCAGGGACCCCTCCCCATCTGCCCAGGGACCCCTCAGATACCCCAGGGACCCCTCCCCATCACCTCAGCCGCTCTCGCGCCGCTCCCGCGCCCGCCGCCGCCGCGCGCCGCGCCTGGCCCCGCCCCCACGCCGCCCCCGCGCCAATAGGAGAGCGCCGGCTCAAGGTCGGCCAATAGGAGCGCGCACCGCCCGCGCCTGCCGGCCGCTGATTGGCCGCGCCCGCCGCTGGGGAGATGTGGGGCCAGAGGGCGTGGCTTTGCGCGGGGGCGTGGTCTCGTAGTGGGGGTTTCTCCGCCCAAAGGGGCGTGGCCTCTGACAAAGTGGGCGTGGCCTGAGTCCAGTTCTAGGGGGGGCTCTGTGGGGACCCCTCCCCTTTTAAAGGGGCCCAGAGACCCCCCCCAAATTACACAGGAGCCCCGTGGAGCCCCCCAGATTATCTAGGGACCCCCAAAGACCCCGCCCCAAATTATTTAAGGTCCCACAGACCCCACCCAAAATTCTATACGGGTCCCAAGGACCCCCCCCCCAATTATTTAGGGGATGCCAAGGACCCCAAATAAATTATTTAGGGACCCCAAAGACCCCTCCCCAAATTATTTAGGGACCTCCAAGGACCCCCCCCAATTTATTTAAGGGTCCCATAGACCCCACCCCCAAATTATATCGCCCCCCCAGGGTCTCTCAGCCCATGGGGGGGTCTCAGTCCATGGGGGGGTCTCTCACCCCCAGCGGGGGTCCCTCAGCCCCTCAGTGGGCCTTGTGGCGGGGCCGGTCGTGGCCGCGCTGGGCCGTGGCCAGCTGCCGCGCCGCGTCCAGCAGCAGCAGGGCGGGCACGAGCAGCCAGAGCCCGTTGAGCCCCACGAAGTAACCCCAGAAATAAAAGGGGTGGGGGTCGCTGTGAGCCCAGCCTGCCCGCGCCTCCGTGGCGAAGTACAGCACGTCACCGTACAGCTGGCCTGGGGACACAACAGGGACAGGGTTAGGGACAGGGACAGGGACAAAGACAGGGGTTAAGGACAGGGACAGGGACAGGGACAGGGGTTAGGGACAATGAGACAGGTCAGGGACAGGCTGGGTGAAGTACAGCACGTCACCGTACAGCTGGCCTGGGGACAGGGACAGGGACAATGACAGGGGTTAGGGACAATGAGACAGGTCAGGGACAGGCTGGGTGAAGTACAGCACGTCACCGTACAGCTGGCCTGGGGACAGGGACAGGGACAATGACAGGGGTTAGGGACAGGAACAGGGACAGGGACAGGGGTTAGGGACAGGTCAGGGACAGGCTGACAGGGACAATGACAGGGGTTAGGGACAGGTCAGGGACAGGCTGGGTGAAGTACAGCACGTCACCGTACAGCTGGCCTGGGGACAGGTGGCGGGGCTGCTCGTGGGGGGGTCTCTCAGCCCATGGGGGGGACCCCTCACCCAGGGGGTCTCTCTCCCCTCAGTGGGCCTTGTGGCAGGGTGGGTCGTCGGGGGTCTCTCAGCCCATGGGGGGGTCTCTCAGCCCATGGGGGGGTCTCTCAGCCCATGGTGGGGGGGGGCTCTCAGCCCATGGTGGGGGGGCTCTCAGCCCATGGGGGGGCT